TTAAATAAAAGCTATTAAGTATTATAATATTATTGAGTTATTATATAGATTATTATTAATATATTAATCTAATAATTTAGTAAATATTAATAAATTAATTAAATAATAGATGTAAATGGTTAAATTGTAAGACATAAAAATTCTTATGAAAAAAATGAAAATTACATTTATTAAATTATAGAAATATATTTATTACTTTAACTAATTCAAAAATACATTACAATTGAAAAAAGTTTTATTGTATATTTATCTTTTTTTTTCTGCATGTACAGATGTAGTATTATGGTTTCAACTAATAATTAAATATTTCTATACTATTGTAACAAATTAAATATGTAAATCTATATATTAACCATTTTATAAAATAAATTAGGAAACTTGTTCATTATTATTCATATAATATTTATATGTTAAGTCGAAACCTTGGAACCACATTTGTATCCATAATCAAATACTCATCAATATATCTTTATTCATTATATGAATTCATTTAACTTTACTATAAATAATATTTCTAAATTATTATATATAAATTGTTTCATATTTTTATATGTACATTATCGTCACTTTACGATATGTTTAATAAGATGAGTTGATTTGATACTAAAAGCATTAATAAACGACAATTTTTTGCCACTGATTTGTGTTGGTCTAATATTAAAAGTAAAGACTTAAACAGGATCAAAAAAATTGAAAAAAGTCGTAAAAGGTGTTTTTTCAGTTTTTGAATTGAAAGGTAAAAATTGTTTGATACTTTTCATTCAAAATGATACATTTTGTATAAACATTGTCTACATTCAAGTTATGGTAATTATGTGGCAAATTACAGAACAGACATTTTGGTTGTCAATGCCGCAAATGTTTGATATGAAAACAAAACACGAAGTTATAAGCAAGTCAGTTAAGTTGGAAAACAACAATACTCTTTGGTGTGAAATGGTTATCATCAGTCAACTCGTTCTGTTTGGCAGTGTAAGTGGATGGTTTGCAATAACTATCAG